CTGGGGGGGAGGTTAAAGGTTCATTATGCTTTTTCGTCTTTTTCTTCTCTATTTTTTTTCCGTATGTGTGTGTGAGAGAGAGAGATAGACGGCGGAAAGGAGGGTGAGGGGAAGCCGGCGAGGTGGTGAGTGGTATAGCCGCCCCAAGTGCCAGGATGTCGTTTGTATTTTGTCTTTTGTCTTTTGATTTTTTTTTTTTTTGTTTTTTTTTTTTTTTTGTGTGTGAGAGAGAGAAGGGGGGGGACTGTGCCAAGCTGTCCGTTATGTGACTCTGACACGTGGTACTTCATTTCTTCTTTGCATTTTGCCTTCCCGGAAATGCTCCAAGATGCTCTCATGTCAATGCTACTCCCGACAAGTCCCCCACGTGAAGAGCAACTGCGAAGCAGATTGAATGCTGCTGATTGTTTCATCATTCATACAATGCAAAACCCCTGCTTCTTAACATCAGTGGCACTCCTATTGTTGTTGGAGGCGACTTCCAACTTCCCCGGGCCAATCATCAATGACATCATCCGAGCCCACCAAAGTGAGACGAGCCCACACACGCATGCACTTGCGCACATAGCGAAAAAACTCAACAAGTAAGCACGGGGCATGCATACATGCAAGATGGGTTGATCACAAACATATCCAGAGAACACAGCAAACAAAGTCTGAATCTGAATCTTTAGCTTAGCTGCAAAAACATCAACGGGACAATGGACAGGATTTTCTCAGAAAAGTGGAGGAGTTCTTGCACATCACAAAACAAAAACGATGCTGCGAAGGTAATGGCTCCCCAAACAAAACACTCAAAGATAAAGGGAAAAAAAGGCTCGGCGGAATATGATAGGGGAGTTCCTTATGCTTTTTCTTTCTTTTGTGCTTTTTTTCCTTCTGTTTTTTTTGCGGGCGAAGCCGCAACGGGTCATCTAGTCATTATATGATGTTTTGGTGAAACGTGCCGTTTCACTGCTGTCTTTTACGTTCGTTGAACTTGGTGCAAAGCCTGCCACATCTGTGTACTTGGGTGCATGATGTTGTCTCCATTAGTTCTTGCTCTCTACCACTCCCTCCACTAGTTCTTGTACTGTGCTATCCTACTCTCTAGTACTATCGTGTGGGACAATAGTTTTCCTTCTCGTTGGTTGGGCTCTGAAATAAGTTTAAATCACCCTTGTGCGGGCCACAGGATGCGGTCATCGAAAAGACCTGATAAAGCTATAACTTCTACAACAGCATTCATGTATATTTAAAACTGTTTCTTGCAAGAGTCAAGACAGAAAACCGGTTTACCAAAAAAAAAAAAAACCTGACTAGTTAGTAGTTACCCTTTTTCTTCTCTATGTGCCACAGGAACTCCTGCTGCGCGGATGAAGCGGGTGCCAACGGCAGAAGTAAAGCGCCGGAGCCGGCAGATCACGAAGCTGTTTGAATCGTTCGATCCGTACAATGAGATGCAGGGAAGAATTGAAAGGGTCTGGATTACAGACATTGCCTCAGATGGCCACAATCTTGTAAGTAGTTTGCCGCTTCTGTCACTTGGAATGAGGGCATTACTCACCACTAGGACATTTTCGACTCATCTCTGGACATAATTGCGGTCAGATGCATGCAGAGGAAGTGGACATAATTGCGGTCAGTTGCATGCAGAGGAAACTCGAATTTCAGTCAGATACGCTCAGGAAGTGTTTTTTTGAAACTCGAATTTCAGTCAGATACGCTCAGGAAGTGTGTTTTTTTTTTCCTCTTTTTTTTGACTGAGCTATATTCTTCTCTCAATTTCACCTTCCGCTATCTACCTACCACTACTACTCCTAAGCCTATACAGGGGACCCCTGCAAGCATACCTCTCACACTTACGGAGATGCATGTTGCCCCCAGCCCTAATCAGTGGTGGTCAGGGAGTAGCTAGTGTGAGTATGCCCTGAGAGAGGAATCTATTGGATCGGAATATGGAGCAGTCCAAAAATTTGAAGCAATTTTCCCCCAGAAGCGAATCAATTCTATACGGGAAAAAAAAGAAACAATCATTGATTCCTAAAACTTGTAGTGCTTTGCCCATATATATGGCTTTGCATGGCAGGAAAGCACTCAGTGTTGATGAAAAACCGTTTATTTACCGCTATTTATGGATGATGAACTTAAAATAAAAAGAATAAATATTAAATATATAAACAAATTAATCAAACACAATGAAATTTGCTGACTCTGCATATAGCCAGTGTAAATTGATGATAGTACAAAGGCCTTTATAGAGCGCACTTAAACCATGAATATATTCCATACGTGTAGGACCTTTATGAAGCACTTAAGTATGCCAAGGATTAACCTTTCCCTCAACCATAGGTACTGCAAGGGTTACCGTAGGCATTCCAAGGGTTACCATGGGTATCCTAAGGGTTACTGTAGGTACTCCGAGGGCTTACTCCCTTTGACCATAGTGAGGCTTAAGCTTATTTTCCTTCAACCGTCGGTACTACAAGTCTTACCGTAGGTACTGCAAGGGTTACCGTAGGTACTGCAAGGGTTACCATAGGTACTCCAAGGGTTAACCCATCCCTCCACTATAGGTACTCCAAGCGTCAACCATAGGTACTCCAAGGGTTACCGTAGGCATTCCAAGGGTGACCGTGGGTACCCTAAGGGTTACCGTTGGTATCCTAAGGGTTACCATAGGTACTCCAAGGGCGTACTTCGTTTGACCATAGATACTCTGAGGCTTAACCTTTCTTTCCTTCGACCGTTGGTACTTTTAGTCTTACCATAGGTACTGCAAGGGTTACGATAGGTGCCGCAAGGGTTACCGTAGGTACTGCAAGGGTTACCATGGGTACTGCAAGGGTTACCGTAGGTACTGCAAGGGTTACCATAGGTACTCGAAGGGTTAACCGTTCCCTCCACTATAGGTACTCCAAGCGTCAAGCTGTCCTTTTACCAGGCTTAACCTTTCGTTCCTTCGACCATCGGTACTGCAAGTCTTACCGTAGGTACTGCAAGGGTTACCAGAGGTACTCCAAGGGTTAACCCTTCCCTCCACCGCAGATACTCCAAGTGTCAACTTCTCCTTCAACCATAGGTACTCCAAGGGTTAACCTTTCCTTTGACCACAGGCACACCAAGCGTCGACCTTTCCTTCGACCATTTGTCCTCCAAGAGTCCAAGGGTTAACCTTCTGTCAACAATTGGGACTCCCGAGGGTTAAAATTTCCTTCAACCATAGGGAACTCAAAAAGTGTTAGCCTTTCCTTCAAACCATAGGTACTTCAAGGGTTTAGAACTTCAGAGTTAGAAAGAAGGGAGGAATAGAAATTGTCAAAGGGGGAGAGGAGGCCTCCATAGATTGCTTTTCTTGGATCCGCCGAGTGGCCCACCATTTGGATGTTCCGTTTCATTCGATATTCGTGTTTCCGAGCTCATTCCGCAGAGTTATCCCCATACAACCCCACAAACCTGAAAACCTGAAATGTCAACCATCATTGAAGAAGGGTTGGTCATTTTGACTGGCCAATCCTGTTGCGTCTTTTATCAGATCCTTTAGCTTACTTAAAGATTAGGCCCTACTGGGCTATGTGCCCAGGTATTTGTTGGTCAAGCTGACAGCAGATAAGAGTCGGGAATCCATTATCATGAAAACACGAGGCCGGGAATCCCTCACAAAAAAAACGGAATGAACATTGTCACGTACTGGGATCATTACCGAGTTTGGGTTCGCGAGCATTACCCCAACAACACTGACGGATCTGCTTTTGAAGTTTACTCTCTTTTTTCTCTCTCTTTTGTTCTTTTAATGGACTATTTATCGAGTTATATGAGTGTCATCCTTTCGCAGCGACCATGCTAATCTTCCCTGTATCATTCCAATGCTAACGGATGTCCCAAAGGACGTAAGAAGTCGACTCTTTTTTTTTCTTTTTTTTTCTTTTTTTTTCTTTGTTTTTTTGGGACAATGCTCCAATCTATTCGTGGGGAGCCGCACGTGCTGGGAACCAGGCCCAGCGTCCCATTTGAAACATGAAACATATTTGAGAACATATACAAAAAAACTTTGAGGCACTGGGGCTTTTGCCCGGCTTTGTCTGAGAATAGGATCATGAACAATTACTAGCCTATTCGATGAAGAACCCCACGAAATAGGCTAAAATTCAGGAAAAGTCTGAAAAAATCTGAAAAATCTGAAAAATCTGGAAAACTATGAGAAGTTTTTTTCTAAGCTGCACGAAGGGACTACAAGAACCTTTTTTTTTTTTTAAAGATACCGGGGCCATTACCCGGCTTTGGCGAAGGAAATTCTGAACTATTTAGAAAATTACTATGACAATCTTCAGAGAAAAAGGGGCTACCCACAACAAAAATCGCCACCGCAAAGGTCCTACAAATGTTCAAAATCCCTAGCAAACCCTTCTAAAACTCTCCAACACTGTCTTACTCCCTGCCGAGCTCTTCCAGGCCTCACACCCCCACCCTGTTGGGTTACAGGGCAACACGACTCAGCCCAGCTCTGACCAATGTTGTCCCAGCAGCAAACCTTGGTTGTCCCTCGGAATACCCACCCCAAAGCATTTCCAGATCTCTCTACCAGGCCTCACACCTGCATCAACAGGTTACAGGGCAACACCCCAGTACCAGGCAGCGTCTTCTGGCATCAAACAGCCGCAGATCACTGAGTATAACAGCAATGGAGCCCCCTAAAATGAGTTGCTAGGAGTCCCCAGAATCACAAATCATTCGTAAGACCACCACTGACAACCATGAACAAACCAACAAAGCCGTAGATCATAGCAACGTTCAGACCGAAAACAAAACACCTGCCTTAGTGCCATCAGCAGCCCAACCCTATCTGCCTCCCCCTTGTGTCCCGATACTCAATCTTTACCAGGCCTCACACCCCTGACTGCTAGGTTACAGAGTGGCACGACCCACCCCAGAGGCCCCCCCATCTGCTAGGCTACAGGGCAAAGCGACCGCCCCGGCTCCCGCCAGCGTCGACTGAATACCAGCTCACCAATGGACACTAGAGTGCCTTCCACCCTCGACAACTCTCCAGATCTCTCTACCAGGTCTCAAACCCCCGTACAGCTCGAGTTACAGGGCAGCGCGACCAAGCCCCAGCACCGACCAGCGTCGTTCTGGCCTCGTCAATTCGCAAACCATGGGGACCAAGGACATCAGCAAATAGCAGCCCAGCCCCCTCACCACCATAGTTGTAGTTCCTATCATCCAGCTCCTCCTGACCCCCTTCTTTTAAGAACTGATGAATAATTTTTCAATTGGAGCATCATTCAATGCCTACAATTCCACAAGAAGAGGGGAAGGGAGGGACAAACTACCCTCTCCCCCATGGAAACTCCAGCGCAAGTCTCGGTTGCATATAAAGGACTCACAAGAACCAAGCGGATTACTCCTCTCCCCAAAAAAAACAACCCTCTGATTGTTCACTGCCTCCGCGGGAAGGCGCCCCCTCATCTCCCAGGAGTCCCAGCCCCAGTGCAGAACAGCCCCCTAAATACCGCTCTTGCTCCCTCAGTTGCATACAGTACCCCCTAAAGTATGCCCCCGCAGAGCCAAAGATCCCCCTTCCCTCTTGTCCCACCCCCTCCAAGTGAAACAGCCCTTCGACTTCTCACCTTGCTGACATCAAAGCCCCTTGTCCTCTCTCCCCCACCGCCATAGCTGATCCGACCCCAAAATCAGCGTAGCCCAGAAAGGGACAAACCCTCAAAACCATCCCTACCCTCTCAAAGATCACACCACCCACCATGTGTAACCCTCGCAGGGAGGGGCTCCAACCCTAAAGGAGATAATTCCATTCAGCACCTATGACCCCAAACCCCTCAGCATTACAAACTGAGACTCAATTTTGACTTATTGCTTTAGAATCCCCAAACATAGAAAATTCAATCGCCGAAAACAGATAAAAGCACACCAGACTATATTCAGGATACCCTAATCAGGAATGCTACTTGGAAAATTGAACAGAACATGTGAAACCATGCGAGATCATGTAAAATCATTCGATCGGATTTAGAACTTTGAGCTCACAACCTTCCGAGATCAAAAAGTAGAATTATAGTATTAGGATTCACGAATAAGAATGTCCAAAATGGACTTTCGACTCTGATTTTCGAATCCTAGGATTCAGAAAACCGATCAGAAAAGTAGCTAGAAATTTAGACAGGTATCATTAGCAATCATTCAAGAGAACAACTGCAATTCTATTAATTGGTAATCCAGTTGGCAGATTCACTTATGAAAAGGAGCAAACTTTGATTTACGAATATCAAATTAAGACTATTACTAAGCCATACTTTTATAGAAAAAATTTCGGAAAAATTACTTGAAATTTAAGTTGGAACTCAAATCAGAATGTAAACAAGAAATTCAATTAAGACAAATATCATTGATACACCCACCCGATTTAACTAACAGCAAGATTAGGATTGTTTTCGAGAAGAGCTACATATGGATCAAAATGTTAATCGAAATTTTTATCACGAGAAACATTAGCAACTATTAA